TATTGATCGTAAACACTCAGACAATTCTCCTTCATCTCCATGACAAAGCCTTTCTGCAGTAGTTGCCCAAGGCTAAGCAGGTTTGTCTTTAAACCTGACACATATAGCACACCATCAATAACCACTTCTCTATCATCTGAGTCTCTCAACACCACACGGCCAACACCTTCTAAGGTTAAGCTGCTGTCATCTGCAAATCAAATCTTACCATGGGAGGCATCACCAATCTTAATGAATCAATCTCTTCTACCTGTCATGTGTGTGGAACATCTAGAATCTAGGTACCATGAGGATTTCTCATCTACACTAACATCACTTGTCTTGACCATTAGCATCACAACATCTGAGTCAGAAGAGGTCGCCTCATCTTTAGCCAAATTAGCTTGATTCTTGGGTTTGTTCTTGGCACCTTCACTCGTCCAATACTCTCATGCAAAATGACCAAGTTTATGACAGTTATGACACCTAATCTTTTTCTTATCAAATTTCCAGTCATTCTCGCCACTATCACCAATTTGTATACCTTTGATGTTTCCCTTTCACGGAATCTGTAGAGTCTTCTTGCGCCGTATGCTTCTTCCAGTGCTTTCCTCCTTTCTTGAAACCTTTAGAATTTGTTTTGTAATTTGTTCTGGCCTGTAACACTTGTTCTTGATAGTGCTTTCGATCATCATTTTATACTCATGTGTTTCTAGAGAATGTTAGAGTTCCTCGATTTCCAATATCTCAAGATTCTTCGTTTCCTCAATAGTTATCACTAAGTGATCAAATTTAGGAGGAAGTGACCTTAATACCTTATGTATCACATGTTGTTATGATACTTTATCACCACAAGATTTCATCGCATTCACTAGTTCCTGAATCATGTCAAGGTACTGAGCCACTGTCCCGCTTTCTTCCATCATTAGAAATTCAAACTTCCTCCTCAATGCTTGCAGCTTCACTTTCTTATGCTTATCACCATCACCATACGTCTTCATCAATATTTTTCAAGCCTCTTTTGTTGTCTCAGCTTGTGAAATCTTGTTAAAGATTTGTGAATTTACACATTGGTACAACAAGAATCGTGTTTTACCGTCCAATTTCTGTTGTAGTTTATAATTCCTTTTGTCTTCCTCTGTAGCTTTGCTGCTAAGCTCTCTAGGGTCAGTTTCAATCACGTCTGCCACGTCTTGGAACTGAAACACATCCTTCATTTTTATCTTCCAATCATCAAACATCTTGCCATCAAAGATTGACAAACCTTCTTGTATGATGCTTCCACTCCCAACCATTTTGATTCTGAAACTCCTCAGAACTCTGCACAAGTCTTAACACCTTCACCCTTTCTTGGTATTCTTGAAGATTGTGCTACCTTCACTGCCACGCACCACATCACGATGCTCCTTCTTACATGATCGAACAACACCGTTCCTTCTACCACACAGGCGAAGCTATGCTCCTGATACCATGTTCAAATCTGAGCCAAAAAACACAATGTAACAGTGATTAGAAGTAGAACAGAGACAAAATGAGGAACAAATAATGTGAGACAAGATGAGATGTATTTCTCATTCACTTTAATTGAATAAAATAAACATATTTATACAGAAAAGTATAATTATCATAGCTAACGGATATAATAGAAACTATTATTGGTTTGACTTCTTACAATAAGATAAATAAGCAATTATGTTTACTATATTTACTTTAACAATGGATAATTAGTTTATAAACTCGTGAAAAATACTATAAAAAGGTGATAATCTCAAGATATAACTGTTCATTTTTATATAAATTTATTGTTTCATCTTACTACTACTGACTTAAACCTCAAAATATCTATTACAAATACATCTACAAGCATTTGATGTCGTATAAGAATAATTGCAGTTAATTCACATGAATAACAAGTATTACAAGAGTCATTCAATCTTGTAAAAGCACAATTACAATTTATCCACGGTAGGGTCCAAGTAGCACTCTTTGGTAACAATAAAAAACCATGACATGAGATGAATAAAAAAGAAGAATGATGTGAACCTTCCACAAGAAACAATGGGACATGAGATGAATAAAAAATACTTGTTGATATTGTTATCTTAATGAATACTAATTATGAATTTTTTACTTTTATCTATACAAGAGTAGGAAAAAAAGAAATCTTTATTATCAACATATTAAAAATCACAATCAAATATAGCTCATGACACAAAATGATGACTCTTGTCTCCGGAGGAAGTTGTAAATTTTGTAATATTTTAACTCAATTATAAATTCATCTCTCTTTTTATCTTTATCATTTTAATTTTCTATTGATATAAAATGATTATTGTTTTAAGATTTTTTAAAATTAGATTAATTTTTTATATTATTACATATATAAATGTAAATATTTTGAATTATATATATTTCACATAACATTATTATTATCATGATAATTCAAAATCATGATTATAACTAAAAGATAATATATATGAAAATATGTTTAATTTGATAAATTGATTCAATCCGTTTAAAAATATAGATTATATTAAATTAAAAAATTTATAATCTAAATTGAATTAGACTTATTTCATTTACTTCATGTGACTTACATTATTTAAGTTTATTTTATAAAATAAAATATATATTTTATTATTATTATATATATATATATATATATATTATAAATTAATTTAATAAGAAATTTACTAATTTTAAAAATACAAGAATAAATCTTTAATATTTATTTATTCTCAGATAAATTACTGTTTTAGATTATTAAATTATTAAAAAATAAATAATGATAATAATAAAAAAAACATTTTTATTTTGAAACATAATAGATATTTTTTTTTATAATTTATATATTAAATAATTATATAAAAAATAAAAATTAATTTATTAACATAATTAAAACTTAAAAATATATTTTAATTTTTATTTGAATTTTTTTAATTAATTATTTTGATATAAATAATATTTATAAAAAATTTTAAAGTTTTCAATCCGATCATCAATTAGTCCATTTGTTAAATGTAAAGCTATATTAAAAATAAATATAATTCATTTTAAAATTTTGGTCATGTTAGATTTTTTATTTTTTTTAATTTCATTCATAGGATCGGGATAGCTGGAATACGACCGGGAGCCAAAGCCCTACTCGAAGTTAACATGCGTTTTAATTTTATCTGTGGATTTGTATTTTGCCTGTTAATTTTCCTTTCCACAAAATCAAAGAGTGGTTAGTAAAGTATAGTTAGAGTTTTACTTAACTTTTGGATAGTTAAAATTTGGAATGAATCGTGATATTATTTTGTACTACAAAAAAGTGCATAGTCTGTTTAATTATGAAATTTACTGAATTTGTAATCATACATTGCCACCTATATATCCTTAAATTTTGTTTCATGACTTTGTAGCAGGGACTTTGGTCGAAGTGAGAATTTATAACAAATCAAATTTACAGAACTTTTAGAATGAAAAAGAAATATAGGCCTAACAAGTTTTTTTTTTCTTAAAAATGTTACAAGCAATATTCATTTAAAATATACAATGTTTTTATTTTTTAACGTTTGCTTTTGCTACTGTTCATTACTGTTTGGATCTATTATGTGTAATTTTATAATTAGGAACCCAAAATAGGATGGGAAGTGCATGGTGGAAAACCATTTTTGTCAACAATCTTTCCAGGTCAGCAGGGACAACATTCTCAAAATTTGTGGATTCGTTGAAAAAAATTATTGAAAATCATGCATGATTTGAATTGTTTGGATGGTCTGTTTTATCATGTTTGGTCAATCCATTGTATTTTTTATTTTTTGTTCACTTTCGTTTTCGTTTTAATATTTACTCTAAACCAACACAATGGAAGTTTAACACTGTATATTTGTTGTTCACATTTCATTATCCCTAAAATCCTCTCTCCACTTTCCCTATGTATGTGTAATACAACATTGAAAGAAAATGCGTCCCTGTAAATGAAACTGTTATTAAAACTTAATTTCTATCATCTTATTTATTTTGTTCTAAAATAATTGTGTATAAATAATATTTTAAACGAATACTATAAAGATACTACACTAACCAGTTTCAAATATAAAGATAAAATTTCAATGGCCACAAAATGAAAAATTAAGACCCAGGGGAGAAAAGTGACAACAAGATTCCGAGTAAAAAATTCTTTTAATTTTGACCCTTCATCCCATGCACTGCGTCCGCTGGGGGTGATGCCATCCGATGATTGCGCCCCATTCCAATCCAATCCCTCACCAATGTCAAACACTTCAAAGTCCACACCATCCAACTCTTCTCCACCGTCCGATTAAAAAATAAACAATTATTCCTTCGTCCTTTCATGTTTCTCAATTCTCAAGGCCAATAACTTAATTTTAATTCACCAACATCTTTTAATAATTAATTAATTTGATATCTCTACGCACTTAAACCAACCGCTCTCTCTCTCTCTCCTCACTCGCTCACTCACGTTGCTGTTGTCGTTTCGTGGTAACAAAAAAGCAGAATCCACCTCCAACTAGCAATTTCTCCCTTGGAACTATCAATGCGATATGTGAAGACCATTTATTTTTTCTTTCTTGAGATAAAATAAGTGGGGCTCACATGCAACTAGAAAAATTAACTACTCATTAATCAAATACTACGCTACACCCACCATTCCCCCTAGACTCAAATCCAGCCGTCAAAAATATCAACAAAAGCTAACCACGTAGAGAGTGCAGACCTACCATACTTACACACACGTCAATTAATCTTGAACCATTAATGACCATTAAAACCGTTGAGATGGTTCGCGCCTGCATTAACCGTGATAAGGTCTAGTACCACTCTAACAACTGTTCCTTCATTCGTTCACGAGTCAACTTAACGAAGTAGTAGCTAGTGAATGTGAAATTGTGAATTTCCATTTCCAACTTGTGCAGTGTTGCTGCGAAGTGCAGACACGTTCGAGCGCTCTCTCTCTCTCTAGAAAAGTTAGGATGTGAGGAGAGAGAGAGAAAAAAGAAGAAGAAGAAGCAAAGATGACGAACATAGCAACGTTTGGATTCCTTCTGCTGTGGACGCTCTTCCTCTGCTTTGCCTTTACTGCGCGTTCAGCTCAACGAGGTGAGATTCTGTATTTTGCATTGAAGTTGAACGCTGAGTTGGTAAAGATTTCGGTTTGGATTTGTTTGAATTTCGTTTTAGTTTCCTGTCAAGTAAGTTATAGAGGTGAAATGCGTGCCTGTCGTGGAATTGATGCTTGAATCGGATTAATGTAGGGGTACATTTGACTTCGTCTGGCGCGTGAAAATTTGCTTAAGGATTAGAGAAAGGCAAAAAAGTGATGCAGTTTTCCACATCTTATTATGTTTTTTTTTTTTTTTTTTTAAGTGTTTTTGGCTTTAAGTAATACTGTGAGACAAAGCCAGAATGGCAACACTGAATAAGGGAAAAAATGGGAAAATTCGATCACATAATCAAATTAGCCTCCGCAGCTTACTATTTTTCTTACAGTAAAGGCCTGGTAGGTTAGTCAAGTTAGAATGGTTCATGGCAGACATTTCTCCGTAGCATAGTGCTTTGATCCTAAAACATAAACTGAGTTTCAACTACAAAAATGATCAAAAGTTAGGTTTAAGTCCAGTTTCTAAATTAGTATCCGACTTTATCAGCGAGATTTGTTGGGTCTATCTTTATCTAGTCTCATGTTCGAGATGCGAGTCCTCAGCGTGGGGTGTGTTCGAGATTCCAACTAGAAATATAATTATATTATCATATATAAGTGGGTGTAAGCCTTGCTTTACAAATAATTACGGAAGGTTAACTTAGCTTAAAGTCCACTCTCTAAGAACTAGCTTAGTTTATTTAAAGCCCTCCTTGTTATGCGCCATTTTCAGTAAGAACTGGCGCGGTATTGAATTTCTTTGGGTTAGCTCTCTGCAAGTTAATAATTTATCATGATTCATGAAAATTCTCTATTAGGATTACATGATGCACAAACTATTGTGTTTAATTGAGCAACATCATCTCAAGGATATGATCAAATTATGCTTTTGTGTGTGTGTGTCCATGTAATCTATTGACAAACTACAAAATCACTTACAGCAAGAGGTTGCTGCTAGTTGCATTGTAATTGCTGCTGCTGAATTTCAGTGCCAGTGAAACCAGCGTGATAGCTTGCACATTCCAGAGGATTAGGATCTTCTTACTTTTAATAGTTTATTCCCTTTGAGTTTATTTAAATTTCTGAAACCTTGTGTTCGTTGCAGGGCCATTTGGCATGCGCATAAGCTGTGGGGCTCGTCAGGACGTTCAAACAAAACCAACCACTACCCTTTGGTATAAAGATTTTGGATATACAGGAGGTATTCCCACCAATGCATCTACAACAAGTTACATTGCCCCTCCTCTGAAGACGCTTCGCTATTTCCCCTTGTCTGAAGGTCCTTCAAATTGCTACAACATTAATAGAGTGCCAAAAGGGCACTACTCAATTAGGATCTTTTTTGGACTTGTTGCAAATGCTAGAGTTACCAATGAACCTCTATTTGACATCTCAATTCAAGGAACTCAAATATATTCTTTGAGATCAGATTGGACCACTCATGATGATCAAGCATTTACTGAAGCCCAAGTATTTCTTATGGATGGTTCAGTCTCAATATGTTTCCATGGCACGGGTCATGGAGATCCAGCAATTCTTTCGATTGAGATTCTTCAGGTTGATGATAAAGCTTATTATTTTGGACCGGAGTGGAGTCAAGAGATAATACTTAGAACAGTCAAAAGATTGAGTTGTGGGTTTGGGCAGTCAAAATATGGTGTGGATTATGGTGCAGATCCCCGGGGAGGGGACAGATATTGGCAGCATATTAAATCATTTGGTGACAATTCTGATAGTCCAAGATCTGTTGAAACTAGAATCAAACAGGCCTCACATCCACCAAACTTTTATCCTGAAACTCTTTATCGATCAGCACTTGTTAGTACCAGTAGCCAGCCTGATTTAACATATACATTGGATGTGGATCCCAACAAAAACTATTCTATTTGGTTACATTTTGCTGAGATTGATAACTCAGTGACTGCCGTTGGACAAAGAGTCTTTGATATTATGATAAATGGGAATGTTGTTTTTCAAGATGTTGACATTGTGAAATTGAGTGGGGATCGTTATACTGCCCTTGTGCTTAATAAAACTGTTACTGTTAATGGGAGAACTTTGAGCATAGCTTTGAGTCCAAAAAAAGGTAGTTCTGCCATAATCAATGCCATTGAGATATTGGAGGTTATAACAGCTGAGTCAAAAACATTATCAGATGAAGGTACATACACCACCCTATTTTTTCAACATGAATTTTTATACTGATGTTTGATATTTATTATGGAATTAAATAAAATGCTGTTGACTACATAGGAGGTTTGAATTTCATGATAACCACACACAATATGGATTTTATTCAGGTTTAAACAAGCAATAACATAATACTTACACTCTTAGGAGCTTGTGCGTGATAGGATCATACATTTTTCTGGTCTTTTTAACCCTCATATTAGTTAACACACTTTATGATACTCAATTATTTGGGTCTGTGGCATTATGAATACAAAATGAAATTTGCTTAGACTTTGACCATGGTGTCTACTGATACTTGCTACTTTAATAGATGCACTATCGTACTTCTTATGCTTCCTTGGCTTGTCATGTTTTTTTCTTACCAATTTCTGCTGTTGTTCTTACTTCGTCTTCCTCCTAGGGATGAAGTTCAAGCTTCGTATTGATTTGTTTCTTTATGAAACTGCCAAATTTAGTTGTTCTCTGATTTATGTAATGGTAGTAAATGTGATTTCTTTTAATCCAAATGCATATAAGATTTTTCTTGTTGATTGTTGTTCTTTTACTTTAGTTATGGCTTTACAAGTGTTGAAGAAGGCTTTGGGGCTTCCTCCCAGGTTTGGGTGGAATGGTGATCCATGTGTTCCCCAACAACATCCATGGACTGGAGCAGATTGCAGATTAGACAAACGTAGCAGCAAATGGGTCATAGATGGACTGTAATTTCTTATTATCCTTATTCGTAGGCATTTATTATATATTGGTTGTGTGGTAGCATTTAATCACACACACGTTTCCTTGTTCGAGGGAGTGACCCTTAAATTGACCCTCCCGGCCTACGAGATTGATATCACTGGGGCACAACGCCATTGGATTTTTCTTTTTAAGCTGTGTTGAATATTTAATCTTAATCAATATCTTAGTAACTTGGTGTTGTATCTGTTAATGAACAGTGGTCTTGACAATCAAGGTCTGAAGGGGTTTTTTCCAAATGACATTGCCAGACTGCATAATCTACAAATCCTGTGAGTTTGAAATAGTTTCCTTTCATGAAAACATTATTATTTGTCATGGCAATTGACATTGCATATATGTATGAGTTATGCTTGAATGATAACAAAATAAAGATCTGATTATTAGATGACAAGTACTGATTGAGACAGTAATACTGAATAATTAATCTTACTTTTTTTCTTTTTTTATATCACTATCCCCCAAACTAACATTGAGCATGTTCATTTTATGTTGCTTGTGCATCACAGAAACTTGAGTGGAAACAGCATTCGTGGGGCTATTCCATACACACTTGGAACAGTAACTAGCTTGCAAGTGCTGTAAGTGATTTCTTTTTCTTAGCTTATTTGACAGATGGATTTATTTGTCTTTATTTCTTAGGTGGTTCTATATATGGTACACCAATACGTGATTCTCATCTTTAGGACAGGTGTATTAGGAAGTGTTGTCTGCTTCAATCGTCACATTTTCAGTGTGAATTAATGCTTTGATTTAAACCTCTTTGGGATTTGCTATTGAGCTTCACTGTTTATTTATGCGAAGGTGTGAATCTTTGCTTTGACTATCATGGTGATATGATTTCTGAATGCCATGTACGCATGCAGTGACCTATCCTACAACTTCTTCAATGGATCGATTCCTGAAAGTCTTGGACAATTGACATCATTACAAAGACTGTAAGATATCTTGGTATTTAACATAACCATATTACAAATAATAAATGATAAATCAGTATTAAGAAGCCTCCATGCAGGAACCTAAATGGCAACTTCCTGTCTGGAAGGGTCCCAGCGACTCTAGGAGGAAGACTTCTACATGGAGCAAGCTTTAAGTATGTTGTTAACCTCTAGAGTAAACATATAAAGAATATTTATATGCGATGAGAGAAGAAGCATATCTATATGCAATTTCCTCCACTTTCTCTGTGATAAGAATGCTAAATCTACACTTGTGGATGGCTGCAGTTTTACTGATAATGCAGGTCTATGCGGCATACCTGGATTACCCACTTGTGGACCTCACCTTTCTACTGGTGCTAAAGTTGGTATTGGGTTAGGTGCCTCTTTTACATTTCTAATTCTTATTACGGGTTCAGTTTGCTGGTGGAAAAGGCGGCAGAATATTCTCCGGGTTCAACAAATAGCAGGTAAGAATGTTAATTTGTGGGTTACAGTTGTAATAAAATGTCACTAGGTTGAGCTTTTGGGTTACAGTTCCAGACTGATAATAACCGGTTCTGAACATTTTTCTGGGTCACTTTTAATGGTATCGAACTGAGTTAACTCTGATTGGCTCATAATGGATTATATTGAAAATAAGTCAGTTTAACCCGGTTCAAAAAAATTTATAACTTGACTGACTAGATCCATTATGAGTTGGTGAATTAATTCACTTAAATATGTCTTATTTTTTAAATTATTTAAATCATTAAAATAGATATATTATGTGGATTAAATTATTAAAATAATTTTATTTTTGTAAATTTACCCTTATATATGAGTAAGAAAATTTAAAATATTAAAGATTTGGAAAAATAGGTAAATCTACCACCAATCCTGGATAAACCTGTTTAACATTGACTCGGGTTTGATCCATAATTAAAAAGTTACAATTTTTTTTAACTCAAACTAGCTTGAATATGTTGGGAATCGGGTTGGCTTAGGAATTGCGACCATATTTACACCTCTAAATTCTGCACCAATGTTCTCGGTAAGATTGCTTGGTAGGCTGGCTTTGAAAACTATTATTAATATAAACGAGTCCAAGGCCAGTGTCTATTGTCTGGTTTGAAGTTTTCTAACAGTAAAATTTGCATTGAGAACGAATTACAGAGTGAGAATTTTAAATAAACACTATTAAACCATTTTGAGACTCAGTAATATTTTCTGCTGATCATTTCCACCCAAGGTAATGGATAAAAAATAAATAAATATTATGTTATTTTTCAGGAAATCAAGGTAAAATATGTCAGACTCCTCGATTAAAATATAAATAATTTTTTTATTTCCTAACCATTGTCCTTGGCAAAACAATATAGTGTGTTATTTTTGGTCTACCTAGCTTACTTGCATTTTTTCCCTCACTTTATGCAATCTTAGAGTTTTCCAATGGTAGTTTTCTAGGATAATAGACGTTTTTTAATTTGACGGAAATTTGTCACTTCATATGCGACATTGAATGGAAAAATTTATACTCTTGATTTTATTTTGTAGCAAGGGCAGCTCCATATGCCAAAGCAAGGACCCAATTTTCACGTGACATGCAGATGGCAAGGCAAAATAATAATAATTATGGCAACGCCCACACTGCTGCGGAGAATGGGCCAATATTGCTTTCACGATAATATCTAATTGTTCTGGTATCTTTTAAGGACAATCATAGCATTCTTCTGTTTCCTATCTTAAATTGTTTCTTTTAATTAATAATCCTATTGTTGTGGTACTAATTAATGGCAGGGTAGTCCCATGTTCTGATGGCTGTTTCCCATAGCATGCTTCCTCAAATATTGACAACAGTTTTTTGAGCCCCTTGAATCTCTTCGTACAAGCTGGGAACTCCCTTAATTTGTAAATCAGAAATTTGTACATCATGTTTACATGTTCATTTCCCACGTTGTTTGAACTTCTACACAAAATTTTTCGTTTTTCTATTTGTTAGTAGATGATTTGTAACATTCTAAAAGTTAAAATGCAAATAGAAATCATAATGTTTTATGATAGTAGAAAATGGTCGAATTTACACAATGCCTGCCACAGTTTTCATTTATATCCTATTTATGTTATGTGCAGATCATTTTAATGGGCAAGTTGACGAAAGAACCAAGAAACCCACTAAATTGCAAAATTTGCATCAGCTGAAAATTGAAAAACAAGACATCGTACCTAATAAAATCCACACACCTATCCCAGCTGGTCGATTTCTTGATCTATGGTCCATGATTAGGCTTCTATGTGAATACGAGCACAATGAGAAGATTTTGTGAGATAAAAATATTGATTATTACATATAAATATATAATCATATATTAAGATTAAAATAATATATATATATATATATATATATATATATAAGTTAAATAATTTTTTGAAATATTGATGACGTTTAAAATGATTTTAATATGAAGCAAGCTAGCGAAATTGATTCGGGCGGGGTGGGGCATTGGGTACTCTTTAAGCAACACCACAACAGAAGTAGAGTCCTAAAGCCCAAGAGACTTCAAATTTGAGAGGTCCAACAAACAGTGCCCCTGAGCAAATCAATAGAATGGAATGCAACAGAGATTTTACTTTTATGTTTGATGCAATTGAGAAATACAGATGGAAGAGTCCAAGTACAAAGAAAAGGTGGTGCTTCATAGTTTGTAGTCATGTTCATTGACCTGCTTAGGCCATCACCATGTTTGCAACCTTTGTTTTTTTACCAGAGGAAGCCATAATGGTTTAAGGCACCTCAAAAGGATTGTATGTTGTAAGATTCCGTTCATTTCTCAAATTTCCTTTGCAATGAAGGTGGGAGGTGTGTTTGTTTTGATCGTGGGATGAATTTGAGTGAATAAAAAAAAAAAAGTGGAAAGTGAAAAGTGAAAAGAAAGCAAGATTGTGAATTTAAAGATAATAATAGAAAATAAATTAAAATAAATAATAAGTTTAGGATTTACGATAAATAACTCGATTAAAATATTAAATAAAAATATATTTAAATTATAAATATTTTATATTTTTTAATTAAATGAGTAATTATTTATTATGATAAAATAATTTTAAATTATTTATTTATGTCATTGTAAATAAAATTATTTATTTATTATCATAATTTTAAATAGTTAATTAACATTTTTTAGTTTTATTGTTGTTTTTAAAATATTTTTTATAACATATTTTATTAAATTTTAATATATTAGTTTAATTAGGATAATGAGTGAAAAAAATAAATAAATAAAAGACATAAAATAAAAAAAATATGAAAAATGAATGAATAAAGAAAGAAAAAATTATGACAATAAATAAGAAAAATTATATATAAACGTATTTAATTGATAAATAAATTTATATTAATTTTATTTAAATACTTTTAAATATATTATTTTTAAGATTCATTTATATTTTAGTGTAAATTCATTTATACAAACCCATATATATATATATATATATATATATATATATATATATATATATATATATATATATATATATATATATATATATATATATATCATCACGTGAGATTTCAACAAAGAAAATACGAGAAACTAAAAAATATAGTTATTTAACGTATTTCAAAGTAAAAAAAATTATAAAATCAAGACAAAATTTCATCTTTTAAGAATAATAGAGAAAGTTTAAAAAATTAGACATAATCCATTATATACATTAATGCTCTTGAATCTTTCACTAGTAATAATAAGAAATCTTTTTTCTTGTCAACGTCAAATAATAAAAAGAAAGGAATAATGAGATTTTTTTTCCTCAACAGTGTATGTAGAGGTAATTTCAATGCAATTGTTAATGATTAAACCTCCTTTTCTTCTTAGCTACCTTATTCGTCCTACTTTATACTTTTAAAAAGCAAGAAAAGTGCTTTGTATATACTACAAGGGTTCTTGCACATGAATAAGAAAAATGAAAAAATCGATTATGGGTAAAACCATTATCTATTAATATATTATTATAATAATAATAATTAAAAATTATTAAAATATATAAAAATAATAAATTATTAATAATAAATCAATCAATTTTTTCTTTCTATTGATTTCATTTTTTTAAAATACAATAATTTTTTTTTCATCGCTTCCTCAACAAATATTATTTAATTAAATAAATAATTCTTATCTTTTATCTTATTTTTTATTTTCTTTTTCTTAATCAAAACCATCCTACATTTTATTTTCTTTCTCTCCTCTATCATTTCCTCGAATTCACATCTCAATCTACAAAATTTAAAAAGTAAAAAAAAATTGAAAAAGACTAAATAATGAAAGTTTTTTATGATTATGTATATATAAATCTTAATATATATCCCTGTAAAATATTCACATCTTAATAAATAGAAATGATTATTACGTTTAACCCTGTAAAATGTTTATCATTTGAATTATAATAGAATTATATATTTATATATTTCAAAAAATATAGTATAGAAATTATAATCTTTAAATTATATAATTTTAACATTTGTTCATGTATAATATAAAAATATAAATATAAACTCATTTCAACTTATCGACTGAAGTTAATTCTATTATATAGTCAATTAAATTAATAATTGGTTGAAGGGTCAAATCTTATTTAAATATATTCATTTTTAATTAGTGTTTAAATTTGAATCAATTTAAAAAATTAAAATTAAAAATTGATAAAAATTTGAAATGAATCAAAATATTTTTTTTAATTATTTAGATTAAAAATTTTAAAATTTATCGATTTTATTTATTGTTCAATTTGACAATTAAAATTTAATTTAAAATTATAATATTTATTTTTAAATTAAAATATAAGATAATACTTAATGAATTAGTTAATTAAAATTTTTAATTTAAAACATGTATTGTTATTTTTTTAATTATTTGTAAAAATATATGAAACAAATTAAAATTATGAATATTATAATTAATAATACATGTTTTTTATAATATATTTTTATTGAATAATTAGTTTATTATGATATATTTAATAATTTATAATTTTAAAAACAAAATCATCCGAATCGAATAATAGTCTGATAAGATTTGATTTTTTTTTAAACATATTTAAATTTTATATTTAATTTAAATGATATTTTATTCAAATTTAAACCAAAACTTAATGTGAACATCTTACCCTACTCTCATGTCATGAATCATTTGTCAACTATTTTCATAAAAATAATATTGCGGCCACACTAGATACACCATATAACAATTGAAAAAAAAAATACACACCCTCACATTCATAATATATTTTAATATACATTTCCTTATATTATATTATATAAATAAAAAATAATAATAATATAAATATAGTAAAAGTTAAATATAATATCATCTTAAAAATAGAGAAATAAAACTAATTTATAATTTATTTATATATTACAATTTAATGGTATATTTGAAGTAGCAATAGAATTTCATTAAAAGAGAATTATGAATACTGAGATTAAGGAACATCTTCAATTTTTCTGTAATAAAAAACTTGTATGTATTGTAATACCCAAAACAAATATGACCCATTCCCAATGGAAACTCTGAAACCCATCACATTAAAAGAAAAAATATATATATAAATTACAGCTAATTATCAATTCGTTGACTGACTTTATCCTTAAGACTAATTAAAAGATTATTTTATCTATTACTTTATTATTATAAAACTCGACAATCTAATTTAAGATAAACCTGTGATTGAAGGATAACAACATAAAAAAAGGTTTTTATATTCATATATTTATTTTAATTCAAAACAATATTATAATAAAATTATTTATAATTGAAATTTATATCACGCGATGAATTATTTAAAAACACGTATATTCTTTTAACTTCTAGTTAAAAATTAGAATTATTAGGTTATATTTAATTAATATCCATCATAACATAATTAAGATATAATTTATTTTAATTAAACACAGTTGACACATAATTTATATTTTTAATATAATTTGAAACATTTAAAATAAATTTTAAGAATAATAAAATCACAATCAATATAAACAGTTAGAAAATAAATATATGTACCAATAAAATAAATTAAATAAAAAAATCTAACTTATTATTTTATTATCAAGAATAAAATATAAAATTTAAATTATAAAAAACTCAATTAAATATATTTAATTAATATTCTTAACGTTTTTTAGAATACAAGTTGTTTAATATAATTTAACAATTACTTTTTTATATTTATTTTATCTAATTTATATTTTTCCTTTATAATTGTTCAAATATTTAATGCAAAATATAATTAAAAAACAAAATTACATTAAGTTAAACAAAATACACCAAAATATAATAAAAATATGCAAATAATTATTTATTATAACCGTTCCTCTCTCCTCAACTTGCTTCACTTACCACATAACACTGCACACATCTTATTTGATAGGATAATAATTATTTCTGTTTATTAATCGCATAATTTTTTATTTATGTCTTGTCCTTATCAATTTACTTTTCAATTTTCAATGTGTGATTAATCACATCATATTAATTTATTTTTCCATTTATTCTTATATCTTATTTTTCATGATACATTCTTCGAACATTTTTAAAATATTAGCAAATTATATATTTAATCTACACATTCTAACTTATTATATCAAGTGTACTCTTTTTTTCAATTTAAATCTGTCAATATTAAGATTTTTAAT